TATTTAGTGCTTTATCCGGGTAGCCGGAAAATAGAGCATTGCAGTAGTCTAACCTAGAAGTAACAAATGCATGGATTAATTTTTCTGCATCATTTTTGGACAGAAAATTTCTGATTTTTGCAATGTTACGTAGATGGAAAAAAGCTGTCCTTGAAACAGTCTTGATATGTTCGTCAAAAGAGAGATCAGGGTCAAGAGTAACGCCTAGGTCCTTCACAGTTTTATTTGAGACGACTTTACAACCATCAAGATGAATTGTCAGATTTAACAGAAGATCTCTTTGTTTCTTGGGACCTAGAACAAGCATCTCTGTTTTGTCCGAGTTTAAAAGTAAAAAGTTTTCAGCCATCCACTTCCTTATGTCTGAAACACAGGCTTCTAGCGAGGGCAATTTTGGGGCTTCACCATGCTTCATTGAAATGTACAGCTATGTGTCATCCGCATAGCAGTGAAAGTTAACATTATGTTTTCGAATAACATCCCCAAGAGGTAAAATATATAGTGAAAACAATAGTGGTCCTAAAACGGAACCTTGAGGAACACCGGAATGTACAGTTGATTTGTCGGAGGACAGACCATTCACAGAGACAAACTGATATCTTTCCGACAGGTAGGATCTAAACCAGGCCAGAACTTGTCCGTGTAGACCAATTTGGGTTTCCAGTCTCTCCAAAAGAATGTGGTGATCGATGGTGTCAAAGGCAGCACTAAGGTCTAGTAGCACGAGGACAGATGCAGAGCCTCGGTCTGACGCCATTAAAAGGTCATTTACCACCTTCACAAGTGCAGTCTCAGTGCTATGATGGGGTCTAAAACCAGACTGAAGCATTTCGTATACATTGTTTGTCTTCAGAAAGGCAGTGAGTTGCTGCGCAACAGCTTTTTCTAAAATTTTTGAGAGGAATGGAAGATTCGATATAGGCCGATAGCTTTTTATATTTTCCGGGTCAAGGTTTGGCTTTTTCAAGAGAGGCTTTATCACTGCCACTTTTAGTGAGTTTGGTACACATCCGGTGGATAGAGAGCTGTTTATTATGTTCAACATAGGAGGGCCAAGCACAGGAAGCAGCTCCTTCAGCAGTTTAGTAGGAATAGGATCCAGTATGCAGCTTGAAGGTTTAGAGGCCATGATTATTTTCATCATTGTGTCAAGAGATATAGTACTAAAACACTTAAGTGTCTCTCCCGATCCCAGGCCCTCGCAGAGCTGTGCAGATCCAGGACAGCTAAGCCCTGGAGGAATACGCAGATTCAAAGAGGAGTCCGTAATTTGCTTTCTAATGGTCATGATCTTTTCCTCAAAGAAGTTCATGAATTTATCACTGCTGAAGTGAAAGCCATCCTCTCTTGGGGAATGCTGCTTTTTAGTTAGCTTTGCAACAGTATCAAAAAGAAATTTTGGATTGTTCTTATTTTCCTCGATTAAGTTGGAAAAGTAGGATGATCGAGCAGCAGTGAGGGCTCTTCGGTACTGCACGGTACTGTCTTTCCAAGCTAGTCGGAAGACTTCCAGTTTGGTGTGGCGCCATTTCCGTTCCAATTTCCTGGAAGCTTGCTTCAAAGCTCGGGTATTTTCTGTATACCAGGGAGCTAGTTTCTTATGACAAATGTTTTTCGTTTTTAGGGGTGCAACTGCATCTAGGGTATTGCGCAAGGTTAAATTGAGTTCCTCAGTTAAGTGGTTAACTGATTTTTGTCCTCTGACGTCCTTGGGTAGGCAGAAGGAGTCTGGAAGGGCATCAATGAATTTTTGTGTTGTCTGAGAATTTATAGCACGAATTTAAAACACTGCTACTCCTACTGCTCTCTCCTCGTCTGACCATGTGTTCTCGCATACCCCGAGAGCATCTGGTCAGAGGGGTGGTGGCACAGGAATCCTCATCTCTCCCAAGTGGACATTCTCAATTTTTCCCCTAACCCATCTGTCTATCTCCTCATTTGAATTCCATGCTGTCACAGTCACTAGCCCATTTAAGCTTAATATCCTTGTCATCTATCGCCCTCCAGGTTCCCTTGGAGAGTTCATCAATGAGCTTGACGCCTTGATAAGTTCCTTTCCTGAGGATGGCTCACCCCTCACAGTTTTGGGGGATTTCAACCTCCCTATGTCTACATTTGACTCATTTCTCTCTGCCTCCTTCTTTCCACTCCTCTCCTCTTTTGACCTCACCCTCTCACCGTCCCCCCCTACTCACAAGGCAGGCAATACGCTTGACCTCATCTTTACTAGATGCTGCTCTTCTACTAATCTCACTGCAACTCCCCTCCATGTCTCCGACCACTACTTTGTTTCCTTTTCTCTCTCGCTCTCCTCCCACACTACTCACTCTGCCACTACACAGATGGTAATGCGCCGCCGCAACCTTCGCTCTCTCTCTCCCACTACTCTCTCCTCTTCCATCCTATCATCTCTTCCCTCTGCTCAATCCTTCTCCCTCCAATCTCCTGATTCTGCCTCCTCAACCCTCCTCTCCTCCCTTTCTGCATCCTTTGACTCTCTGTGTCCCCTATCCTCCCGGCCGGCTCGGTCCTCCCCTCCAGCTCCGTGGCTTGATGACTCATTGCGAGCTCACAGAACAGAGCTCCGATCAGCGGAGCGGAAATGGAAGAAAACTAAACTCCCTGCCGACCTGGCATCTTTTCACTCCCTCCTCTCTACATTTTCTTCATCTGTTTCTGCTTCTAAGGCCACTTTCTACCACTCTAAATTCCAAGCATCTGCCTCTAACCCTAGGAAGCTCTTTGCCACTTTTTCCTCCCTGCTGAAACCCTGGACAACACCCTGTCGTTCTCCGCTAACATCAAGGCGGTGACCCGCTCCTGCAGGTTCATGCTCTACAACATTCGGAGAGTACGACCCTGCCTTACACAGGAAGCGGCACAGGTCCTAATCCAGGCACTTGTCATCTCCCGTCTGGACTACTGCAACTCGCTGTTGGCTGGCCTCCCTGCCTGTGCCATTAAACCCCTACAACTCATCCAGAATGCCGCAGCCCGTCTGGTATTCAACCTTCCCAAGTTCTCTCACGTCACCCCCCTCCTCCGCACACTCCACTGGCTTCCAGTTGAAGCTCGCATCCGTTACAAGACCATGGTGCTTGCCTATGGAGCAGTGAGGGGAACGGCACCTCTGTACCTTCGGGCTCTGATCAGTCCCTACACCCAAACGAGGGCATTGCGTTCATCCACCTCTGGCCTGCTGGCTCCCCTTCCTCTGCGGAAGCATAGTTCCCGCTCAGCCCAGTCAAAACTGTTCGCTGCTCTGGCACCCCAATGGTGGAACAAGCTCCCTCACGACGCCAGGACAGCGGAGTCACTCACCACCTTCCGGAGACATTTGAAACCCCACCTCTTTAAGGATTACCTGGGATAGGATAAAGTAATCCTTCTACCCCCCCCCCCCCCCCCCCCCCCAAAAAAAAATTGTAAAGTGGTTTTCCCACTGGCGCCAATTTGTGAGTCGTTCTGGATAAGAGCGTCTGCTAAATGACGTAAATGTGCCCTTGAGCAAGGCACTTAACCCTAATTGCTCCTGTAAGTCGCTCTGGATAAGAGCGTCTGCTAAATGACTAAAATGTAAATGTAAAATGTGAGTGTGCATAGAGTCAGTGCAAGATAGGGTCAATGCAGATAGTCAAGGTAACCATTTAAATAACTATTTAGCAGACTCAGAATGTTCAATTTAAAATACATAAACAAAAACCAATGATTGCAAAGTTAAGCAAACCATACTTTTAACAATTTCAACAGAAACTTTACAAAAACACATTTACTTGAAGAACAGTGCAGATCCAAAGTTTGGTAACAGAATGTGCTGTCATTCGTTTTCAAGTAAATGTGTTTTTGTAAAATTCTCAGTGGAAATTGTATGGTTTGGCTGAGCCTGGGAGTGGCAGTGTCCAGCACTGACCTCTTCCTCATTGATGTCTTTGTGGGCATGTGCCTGCAGAAGATTAAATGTCACGCTGACGCACCACTCTGGCTTCAAGACCTTTGGGTTCCGTCAGGTGGTGTCACACTTCAACCCCTGCATTTACAGGGAGATCATGCTGGTGCACAAACTGAATCCCACCGAGATGTGGACCATGTGGAGGACACAAAGCTAAAATGCTTTAGATAAGGATGTGAGGCATAAGGTGTTGTGTGTATCTTGCTGTAGTGGTCTGTCTCGCTACTGTAAAATGATCCTTATGAATGGTCAAAAATAGGGTAATTTCACATGAGCTCCTGCAAATGTTTTGAAATAAACTTTAATGTATCCATAAATTTCATTTATTTTTGTACAGATATTCAACATTAAAAAAGTTAGGTACAGAATTTCATAAGCATTATACCATTTGTTTACAATATTTTATCCTCTTAAATGATATTTTAATTATGCAATGTTCTTGTAAAGGCCATTTAAAAATGAACCAAGGATTTTCAACAGAGGAATAAAGTGTGTGCAGTGCTTTAGGTTTATTTAGCAGTTTCAACCACTATCCCACTGTCCCATGCGGCCGAGGTCAGGTATTTTTTACTGAAAGTTAACCAGCTTTGGGTTTCACTGCTCCAACCCTGCCAGGCAGCAGGCACCAGCCACGCCCCTCTAAATCCCTTTCCGCTACACAATTATCACACAGACAAGGCAACCTTTTTCAAAGTACAAAGTATGCTCAAGCGTAAAAAAAATAAACTATAGCCTCTCATCTTATGCACACTGAAGAGGATAGCAACAAACAAACGTCCTTTTCAATTCCCAATTAAAAGCTTTTATCACAATACATACGCATTTCTGCCCCTTTTACCAGTCAATGATGTGAACATAGTGTGGGTGGGGATAATTACGTTTATTGTTTTGAGAAAACATTATCCCGTAAGAGCGCTTAGGGGCTTGAGCAAGAGACTTTCTGCACAAACAAACACATGTGCACACACCCATACAGTAGAGAACTCCATGGGAATTTGATTTATGTGCAAAAATTGAGATTGGGCCAAAGATGGTTCTCAAAGGCTTTAGATTAGAAGGTCTGGTCGTCATTACAGGAGTCAGTCCAATGGCCAAAGGCCTCACAGATGTCACAATAAGCTCTCTCCTCATCCTTACTGCCGTGGTAGGTGGTGTGGGGTGGGGAGTCTGGCATCTGCATCTGAGTGGGACATTCTTCTGTATCATGGAGGTCGAAGCAGTCACAGATGTCACAGAAGAGCCTTGGTGGGACCTTCTTTTTGGAGGGGCCTTCGTTAAAACCGCTGAAAAGAGGGTGGGAGACATACAGGGTCAGGGCGTGAGCATGCACAGTAAACTAGACAAATGGAAAAGTACTTTATGGGGGGGAGACAAACTAAGACTGATGAAATATTAAGATATAAATACTGCTTCATTTTCTGAACTAACTTAATGAAATTAACAAAAAAGGAAAAAGCATGAGGTTAGTGTGGGCTTTAACTTGTCTGACTCAGGGTTAGTGTTTAAGAGCATGGGAGAAGGCTGACCCATCATAGTTGTCAAGCTCGCTTGCATTATTCCCATTGAGGGCAGCCTCTGCCATCTTCTCCAGCTTGCCCTTAAGTTCCTCATTCTTCTTCTGCAAGTCCACGATAACCGAGTTCAGGAACTCAATCTGTCCCAGACAAGAAGGGATATCACAGACATTGCCACAGTTCAGTTAAAAATAAATGTAACTTAGAACTCTGGGACACATGAACAACAGGTCATCCAACAGTATCCACATCTCATTGAGTACCAATATCACACAAGCAGTTAGTAAATTCACCCCTTTCCCCAACCCACCATACTACAAGAACAGTGAACCACAACCTTCACCAATGTGCTTGGCCAGTTCCTATGTTGTGAAAACAAACCCCACATCCTGGTTTGAGCATGGGCAAGGGTAATGAGGGCAACACTGAACAGTACAACTCTGGATTGTCCACCATGAGAAATTGTGGCATCAAGGCATGTCAATTTGCTGGAACTCATACTCAGATAAATGTCCTTTATGAATAGGATATGAGGTAAAAAAAAAAAAATTTGAATCCCTGAAAGCTATTGTAAATCAATCCTTATGGGAAATGTCAGAGATGAGGCCTGATTCCTCCTTAAGGCATCCTAGCAGAACTCGGCTATGCGAAGTGAACGTCTATGTCTCGCATACTCCCTTAAAAGACATTTGGTTGAAAAATGAGAAAAAAGTGGCAATAGTACTGTTTGTCCCTCTTGAGACGCCGTAGCCAGTATACACTTCCTCAAACTAGTCAGAATTAATCTAAGTTAACTCAAGAAATCTGTAATTAATTTTTAAGTTTTTGCAGAGGAGGTCATAGTCGCGCAATTTTACATCCAACTAATATGTATTTCTCAAGTGAAAACATTTGCATTAAAACGAGTCGTCTCTCGTTGAATGACAAACACTTAATTGAAGAATGCCTACTGTTGACCAATCACCAAGGAAGGGGCGTATACGTCGGCTACAAAACTTCGGCTTGCCTTAAGAAAATAATTAGTGTGCACGAACAGCTGAAAAAACCCTTGCCGTCATAATATACACTGGAGTGTACAAACATTAGGAACACCTGCTCTTTCCATGACATAGACTGACCAGGTGAATCCAGGTGAAAGCTATGATCCCTTATTGATGTCACCTGTTAAAACAGGAACCGAAGAGAAATCTACAGTCAAATAGACATGCATGAGTGGAGCTGATGAAAAACAGTAACAAACCGCTGCCTGATTTCCGGGTAGCATGGCCAACATCAGTGACAGAGGAGGAGGAGGTAAATGAGGAAGTGGAGAGGGAGGAGACAAAACAGATCAAAATTAGGACCCACCTAATGGCAGACAATAGATTCAAGTCATCACTGACAGATGAAAAAATACTAAAACAACCTAAGAGAAAATAGTGGGTAGGCAAGCATTACAGCTTCATCACTGTAGAACCTCTGACGAACCCATTTTAAAGCCTGTGACAGTAAGTTAAGGGATACAGACAGATCTTGATTGTTTTTGGTTAAAGTTGTTTGAGGTATCTCAGCACACCTGTGATAAAACAGCTTCATAAATCAATTGTCAGAGGTTCTCCAGTAAGTTGAAATAAATTCTGTCTACACTGCCAGCCATGGACTTGGCAGACATGGGCATCAGTTTCAGCAGAGGTTTAGCAGAGCTCTCATTACCATTTTATGAGCATTCATTTAGAGGGAATTTCCATACCACTGCTAGCATGAAAGTTGCCATTGTCATAGTATGCTAAGCAACCACAGCATGTCATATGGCAATAGTATGGAAACATATCTTAAATTAATGCAGAAGTACGACTTAGGTTAGGTACTTCTTACACAATCTGGCCAAACACACAATGCAACACTGTACATATCAATAAATAACCCATTGAATGGCATACCCAAGCTGTCTCTTATTCACTCATTTTTCTAAATTGGTCCATAGTAAAAGTATACCTGGCTTTCTGCAGTCTCCTTGTCCTCCCCTAGTTGGTCCAGAGCTGCATCACCTGAAGGGAAAACATGCATATTAAGCATTCAGTGACAGTGGAGTTCAATCTGTAGACATGAGTTAAGCTTTAACTACCCAGTCATACCTGAGGAGCGGGTAACAGTGTCCTGTCCTCCTGAAAGGCTCTTCTCCAGGCTCTGAACGTTCTCCTGCAGCCGTGCCTTGTCCTTCTCCAGTGACTGGACAGCAGAATTCAGTGCCTTCGCTGTGGCGCTCTCCCCACGCAGCACTGATAACTGCTCAGAGGGGGAAATAACAATATATATATACACATTAGACAATGATATTAAATATTAAAATATTAAACGCAACATTTTCAAAGATTTTACTGAGTTACAGTTCATATAAGGAAATCAAACAATATACATACATTCATTAGGCCCTAATCTATGGATTTCACATGACTGGGAATACAGATACAGTGCTATGAAAAAGTATTTGCCCCCTTTCTAATTTTCTCTACTTTTGCATATTTGTGATACTGAATGTTATCAGATCTTCAACCAAAACCTAATATTAGATAAAGGGAACATAAGTGAACAAATAACACAACAATTACATATTTATTTCATTTATTTCATAAACAAAGTTATGCAACACCCAATTCCCCTGTGTGAAAAAGTAATTGCCCCCTTACACTCAATAACTGGTTGTGCCACCTTTAGCTGCAATGACTCCAACCAAATGCTTCCTGTAGTTGTTGATCAGTCTCTCACGTCGCTGTGGAGGAATTTTGGCCCACTCTTCCATGCAGAACTGCTTTAACTCAGTGACGTGTGGGTTTTCAAGCATGAACTGCTCGTTTCAAGTCCTGCCACAACATCTCAATTGGGATTAGGTCTGGACTTTGACTAGGCCATTCCAAAACTTCCAATTTGTTGCTTTTCTGCAATTTTCATGTAGACTTGATTGTGTGTTTTGGATCATTGTCTTGCTGCATGACCCAGCTTAGCTTCAGCTTCAGCTCAGACGGATGGTCTGACATTCTCCTGTAGAATTCTCTGATACAGAGCAGAATTCATGGTTCCTTCTATTAAGGCAAGTCATCCAGGTCCTGAGGCAGCAAAGCATCCCCAAACCATCACACCACCACCACCACCATGCTTGACCTTTGGTATGATGTTCTTACTGTGGAATGCAGAGTTTTGTTTTTGCCAGGCATAATGGGACCCATCTCGTCCAAAAAGTTGACTCATGTTTGCCAAAAAGCACCTGGATGATCATCAAGACTCTTGGAAGAACGTTCTATGGACAGATGATTCAAAAGTATAACTTTTTGGACGACATGGTTCCAGTAATGCCTGGCGAAAACAAAACTCTGCATTCCACTGCAGAACTGCAGTCAGGTCAAGTCCCTGGTGAGGACGACGACCACGCAGATGGGCTTCCCTGAGACTGTTTCTGACAGTTTGCGCCGAAATTCTTTGGTTGTGCAAACCCACAGTTTCATCAGCTGTCCGGATGGCTGGTCTCAGATGATCCCGCAGGTGAAGAAGCCGGATGTGGAGGTCCTGGGCTGGCGTGGTTACACGTGGTCTGCAGTTGTGAGGCCGGTTGGATGTACTGCCAAATTCTCTAAAACGACGTTGGAGGCGGCATTGGTAGAGAAATGAATATTCAATTCCCTGGCAACAGCTCTGGTGAACATTCCTGTAGTCAGTTTGCAATTGCACACTGCCTCAAAACTTGAGACATCTGTGGCATTGTGTTGTGTGACAAAACTGCCCATTTTAGAGTGCCTTTTATTGTCCCCAGCACAAGGTGCACCTGTGTAATGATCATGCTGTTTATGTTTTTTTTGTTTGTTTTGTTTGTGCCGCCTTCCTCGCCTCAATTTCGTGATTACGATCTTGTCTCATCACTGAAACTCCCCAACAGGCTCGGGAGAGGCGAAGGTGGAGTCATGCGTCCTCCGAAACATGACCCGCCAAATCACGCTTCTTTACACCCGCTCGCTTAACCCGGAAGCCAGCTGCACCAATGTGTTGGAGGAAACACCTTTCAACTGACGAACGTAGTCAGCCTGCAGGCGCCTGGCCTACCACAAGGAGTCGCTAGAGCGCGATGATCCAAATAAAGCCCCCTGGCAAAACCCTCCCCTAACCCTGAGCGTCGCCCTATGGGACTCTTGGTCACGGCCGGTAATGGGATGGGATCGAACCCCAGGCTGTAGTGACGCCGCAAAACTGTGATGCAGTGCCTTAGACCGCTGCGCCACTCGGGATGCCATGATCATGCTGTTTAATCGGCTTCTTGATATACCACACCTGTCAGGTGGCTGGATTATCGTGGCAAAGGAGAAATGCTCACTAACAGGGATGTAAACAAATTGGTGCACAAAATGTGAGAGAAATACGTTTTTTGTGCGTATGGAACATTTCAGGGATCTTTTATTTCTGCTCATGAAACATGGGACCAACACTTTACATGTTGTGTTTATATTTTTGTTCAGTGTAGTATACAAATGCTTAAAAACAATCTCCTGAAAATAAACTCAAGTTCTAATAAGACTACTCCAATGCTTTTTGGCTTAGAATGAGTGCCAGGGAGCCTGCCATGAGGTAGGGAATTAAAATGTCTAGAAATAGGGAAGAGCACCAATTCTTACCTCACTCATCAGTGCCTCCAGCTCCTGATCCTTCTCAGAGATCAAGGCACTGCTTTTATGGATGGACTTCTGGAGGGAGGCTTTCTCCTCATCTAACTGTTTCTTCAAGGTGGTCTCTCTGTCAAGGGCAACACAGAATTATGATACATAGTCATAAGAGTTGAACCACTCCAAAAGGGACTAGTGAAGCATTGATCATGCATAATCTGTGTTAACTCTAATGTCTACTGGAGTACCACCAGCAGCCAACTGGTTGCTTAAGTTCGGTTAAAGGTGCACAATGCAGAAATCGCTCCACCATTTCCTGGTTGATAAAATTCTAATAGTTTGCCTAATTTCAGTTTATGGAACAAAACAAGCAAGTCTAGTGTAGAGAATCATTGTACCATCTAAACCACTGTGAAATATATTTTCTATAACCAACAATATTGTATTCTCAGCTGTTTGAAGCGGATGAACAAAACCCAAAATAAAAGATGCAAAAACCAAACTTAAGGGGAAGCATAGAAATAGCGCACATAGAACAGATCTACCGCTTCTTAGACTTGCTTTCAATGAGAATGACAGATCTATAACTCACATTTCTTTGTGAATTTGGTCTGGAACACCAAAATGTTGCTGCTTTAAACTCCATCTTTATATATACATAGAATTGATCAGGTGAAACTTTAATTCAGATGCATGGAATAAAAAGGTGAAAAGTTTTCTGAAAGGCCAACAATGGAATAGAAATTGAAGATGGAAAAAAAAATAAACACAAAGACATAAGCCCATAGCAATGATAATATGAAAGTGTAAGAGACTCCACTCGACGGTTTGGAGCACAATGGGATAAAACAGGCTTTGTATTGGACAGACGTGACGCCCTTAGTTTATGAACACAGAGAGATCCAATGTCAGTGATGTAAGTGGTGTAAATTCCTGCTTACAATTCTATCCTCCTGATTCCTGCTTACAAGCAAAAACTAAAGCAGGAAGTACCAGTGACTCGCTCAATACGGAAGTGGTCAGCTGAACGGATGCTACGCTACAGGACTGTTTTGCTAGCACAGACTGGAATATGTTCCGGGATTCACCCAATGGCATTGAGGAGTATACCACCTCAGTCACCGGCTTCATCAATAAGTACATTGACGACGTTGTCCCCACAGTGACTGTACGTACATATCCCAACCAGAAGCCATGGATTACAGGCTACATCCGCACAGAGCTAAAGGGTAGAGCTACCGCTTTCAAGGAGCGGGACACTAATCCGGACGCTTATAAGAAATCCCGCTATACCCTCAGACGAACCATCAAACAGGCAAAGCGTCAATACAGGACTAAGATTGAATCCTACTACACCGGCTCTGACGCTCGTTGGATGTGGCAGGGCTTGCAAGCTATTACGGATTACAAAGGGAAACCCAGCTGCGAGCTGCCCAATGACGCAAGCCTACCAGACGGGCTAAATGCCTTTTATGCTCGCTTCGAGGCAAACAACACTGAAGCATGCATGAGAGCACCAGCTGTTCCGGACGACTGTGGGATCACGCTCGCCGTAGCCGTTATGAGCAAGACCTTTTAACAGGTCAACATTCACAAGGCCGCAGGGTCAGATGGATTACCAGGACGTGTACTCAGAGCATGCACAAACCTCTCCCTGACCGAGTCTGTAATACCTACATGTTTCAAGCAGACCACCCTGTGCCCAAGAAAGCGAAGGTAACCTGCCTAAATGACTACCGCCCCGTAGCATTCACGCGGTAGCCATGAAGTGCTTTGAAAGGCTGGTCATTGCTCACATCAACACCATCATCCCGGGAAACCCTAGATCCACTCCAATTCGCATACCGCCCCAACAGATCCACCAATGATGCAATCTCAATCGCACTCCACACTGCCCTTTCCCACCTGGACAAAAGGAACACCTATGTGAGAATGCTGTTCATTGACTACAGCTCAGCGTTCAATACCATAGTGCCCAGTATGGGAGATAACCGTGGACTACAGAAAGAGGAGGGCCGAACACGCCCCTATTCACATCAACAACGCGACGCTCCCCATCCAACCTGACAGAGCTTGAGAGTATCTGCAGAGAAGAATTGAAGAAACTCCCCAAATACAGGTGTGCCAAGCTTGTAGCATCATACCCAATAAGACCCGAGGCTGTAAATCGCTGACAAAGGTGATTCAACAAAGTCCTGAGTAAAGGGTCTGAATAATTATATACATATTTATTTTTATAAATTAGCAAACATTTCTAAAAACCTGTTTTTGCTTTGTAATTATGGGGTATTGTTTGTAGATTGATGAGGGGGAAAAAACAATTTAAACAATTTTAGAATAAGGCTTTAGCGTAACAAAATGTGGAAAAAGTCAAGGGGTCTGAATACTTTCCGAATGCACTGTATATCTGGGGAAGGGTTTCCAAGAGCACAGTGGTCTCCAGTGGTCTCCAAATATGTAACTACCCAGACTCTGCATAGTGCTGGCCGTCTGACCAAACTGAGCAACAGGGCAAGAAGGAACTTGGTCAGGGTGGTGACCAAGAACCCAATGACCACTCTGACAGAACTACAGAGTTCCTTGGCTGAGATGGAAAAACCTGCCATAAGGACAACAGTCTACAGCACTTCACCGATCTGGGCTTTATGGGAGAGTGGCCAGACGGAAGCCACACTGGTGGTGGCAGTATCATGCTATGGGGATGCTTTTCAGCGACATGGACTGGGAGACTGGTAAGGATAGAGGGAACAATGAACGGAGCCATATACAGGCAAATCCTGGATGAGAACCTGCTTCAGAGTGAAAACGACCAGACTGGGGCGAAGATTTACATTCCAACAGGACAATGACCCCACGCATACAGCCAATGCAATGCTGGAATGGCTTCAGAACAAGAATGTGAAAGTCCTTGAGTGGCCCAGCCAGAGCTCAGACATGAATCCCATTGAAAATCTGTGGAAATACTTTAATATTGCTGTTCACCGCCGCTCCCCATCTAATTTAACAGACCCTGAGAAAATTTGCAAAGCTGATACAGACATACCCAAGACAACTCAAAGCTGTAATCGCCGCCTAAGTTGCTTCTACAAAGTATTGACTCAGGGGTGTGAATACTTATGTAAATTATATACTTCATTTTCAATACATTTCCAAAATAAAAAATAAAAAACATGTTTTCACTTGTGAAAAAAAATCTATTTAATCCATTTTGAATTCAGGCTCGAACAACAAAATGTTGAATAAGTCAAGGGGTATAAATACTTTGAAGGCACTGTAAATATATCGAGATGACAAAAAGCAAGTGAATTAGAGGGATTACTCATTGAATAGCATTGAGTTCCTCTAACCTCCCTAAGGTAACAGTATGACACGCACAGTAATGTAACAATTAAGGAATTGAAGTACCTGAAGGTACAGTGCCTTTATAAAGTATTCACACCCCTTGACTTTTTCCACATTTTGTTGTCTTACAAAGTGGGATTAAAATAGATTTGTCATTTTTTGTCAACGATCTACACAAAATACTAATGTCAAAGTGGAAGAAAAATTCTAACATTTGTAAAAAATATATATATATTTAAAAGAATACACTAATATCTTAATTAGATAAGTATTCAACCCCCTGAATCACCTTTGGGTGAGATTACAGCTGTGAGTATTTCTGGGTAAGTCTCTAATAGCTTTCCACATCTGGATTGTGCAACATTTGCCCATTATTATTTTCAAAATTCTTCAACCTCTGTCAAATTGGTTGTTGATCATTGCTAGACAACCATTTTCAGGTCTTGCCATAGATTTTCAAGCAGATTTAAGTCAACACTAACTCAGCCTCGCAGGAACATTCACTGTCTTCTTGGTAAGCAAATCCAGTGTAGATTTGGTCTTGTGTTTAAGGTTATTGTCCTGCTGAAAGGTGAATTAATCTCCCAGTGTCTGGTGGAAAGCAGACAACCAGGTTTTCCTCTAAGATTTATGCTTCGCTCCATTCCGTTCCTTTTTTTATTCTGAAAATTTTCAGTCCTTAGCAATTACATGATGCAGCAACCACTATGAAAATATGGAGAGTGGTACTCAGTAATGTTTTGTATTAGATTTGCCACAAACATCAAAAACGTTGTATTCAGGACAAAAAGTTACTTGCTTTGACAAATGTTTTGCAGTATTACTTTAGTGCCTTGTTGCAAACAGGATGCATGTTTTGGAATGTTTATTTTTATGTACAGGCTTCCTTCTGTTTTAAAGTCACCATTGGCCTCATGGTGAAATCCCTGAGCGGTTTCCTTCCTCTCCGGCAACTGAGTTAGGAAGTACGCCTGTATCTTTGTAGTGACTGGGTGTATTGATACACCATCCAAAGTGTAATTAATAACTTTACCATGCTCAAAGGGATATTCAATGTCTGCTTTAATTTGTTTTACCCATCCACCAATATGTGCCCTTCTTTGCAAGGCATTGGAATACCTCCCTGGTCTTAGTTGTTGAATCTTTTGTTTGAAATTCACTGCTTGACAGAGGGATCTTACAGATAATTGTATGCGTGGGGTACAGCGATGAGGTAGACTTTCCAAAATCATGTTAACCACTATTATTGCACACAAGAGTGAGTCCATGCAACTTAAGCACATTTTTACTGAATGTATTTAGGCTTGCCATAAGAAAGGGGTTGAATAATACTTATTGACCCAAGACATTTCAGCTTTTCATTTTTAATTAATGTGTAAAAACATTATTCCCCTTTGACATTGTGGGATATTGTGTGTAGGCCAGTGACAAAAAAATCTCAATTTAATCAATTTTAAATTCAGGCTGTAACAAGAAAATGTGGAAAAAGTCAAGGGGTGTGAATGTTTTCTGAAGGCACTATATTATTGGGAAAGCTTTGAAAGGCAAAAGAAGAGGATGTTAGCAGACAGAGCATGTAGACAGAGCACAAACATGACATGCCACGTTGATGAATGGAAAAGTGATGCAAGCATCCATGCTTAATTGCAGAACTTTTGGGAGTGTCCATTGCCGCCTGACTAGAAATGTCAAACAATAATTTTTGAACACTTGATTTGGATGGAAATGAAAACAGCATTAGACAAGGCTAGCTACATACACCATGTTTCTATACAGTTTCTCACCTCTGCTTCATTTCTTGCAACTGTTTATTGAGCTTGGACTGCTGAGCTTCCAGCTAAAAAAAGAAGAAAAAACATTGCTTGGTTGGACAGGTGTATTAAGTTAATGTAAATTTTACTTTCTTAAAATGGTAGAAGCAGTTTGAGGGAGGAGGTAACACATCAGTAGTCCAGTGGTGGTACCTTCTGCTGGCCACTGATCTCCTTCTTGCTGCTGCCAAGCTCCTTGGTCAGCTTGTTGTTCTCCTCCTGTAAGGCCACCAGGGACTGGGACATCACAGAGGCAGCTTGCTTCAGCTCATCACTAAACACACACATTATTATAAACACATAGCTACATGAGTACAAGAATACACAGACATCTGATACGGGCGTGAAAGAGGGAAATTAGTACAAGAATACACAGACATCTGATACGGGCGTGAAAGAGGGAAATAGGTACAAGGAAAGGTTTGAATAAATAAATGTTTCTACAACTGCTAGGATTGGCATGTCATCTTTGCATCATTATTCATGGCAAATAATTTAAGTAGAGAATTAATTTAAGGCATGAACGTTGACACCTAAAATGTTACCATTAAATATAATAATTTTAGTGGAAGTCAGCAGCAACACTACAAGGTGTTTGTATAGAGTTGTTAACCAAATGAATCACACCATAAGATATGATATACACAGTAGTGAATAGTGATGAAGTGACTAAATGTTTATGAACCTTGTGTGAAGTGCCATAATTCAGTTAAAATTCTTATCTCAGATATTTGGGCCTTGAGGTTGGGTATGAAGACAGAATGTCTGACACTTCAATGTCTGAATATTGAAAGTTTGAAGACTGTTGAGAGCAATGAGTTATAACTAATACCCAGCGTGTGTGTAATGTATTTTCACCCGGAATAAGAATGTCAGAGCAAGGACAAGTACAAGCATGGAGTAAAGAAAGCAAGTTCGCATTTCTTTTAAGTAAATCTGTTCAGAAAAAAATTTAAAAAATAAAGACAGGTTCAATATTTATCTTATCTTGAAAGAGTTTAATAACAAATCAAGAGCCATAGGGATCGACTGCATTTAACTGCTCCCTGTGTCCAGGGTCAGTTACTGCAATAGGATCCCCATCTGCTCCAACCCCCACACCCCGCTGTCGGATGTTGGCACTCAGCCAGGACCTGCCGGATAGATACCCAGCTGACTATCAAGGCCCATCTGACTAACCACATTGAGAAAATACTAAACAGGGATATTCCATTGATGACAAGTGGAAGGTAGGGCTGGGAAGAAAATAATCTGGGATGTTGTGATGGTCTTCACACATACAGTGCATTCAGAAAATATTCAGACCCCTTCACCTTTTCCACATTTTGTTACGTTACAGCCTTATCCTAAATGTATTACATTGTTTTTTTCCCTCATCAATCTACACACAATACTCCATAATAACAAAGCGAAAACAGGTTGTGTGAAATGTTTTCATATTTAAAAACAGAAATAAAGTATTCAGACCCTTTGCTATGACACTCAAAATTGAGCTCAGGTGCATCCTGTTTCCATTGATCATCCTTGAGATGTTTCTACAACTTGGAGTCCACCTGTGGTAAATTCAATTGAACAGGGCAGTATGGCTGGCCCTTAAATGTACACGGAGAGCAAACATTAATAATATGCATGTAAATCTCTCATGGCTCAAAGTGGAGGAGAGATTGACTTCATCATTACTTGTTTTGTAAGAAGTGTTGACATGCTGAATGCACCGAGGTGTCTGTTTAAACTACTAGCACACAGCTTGGACACCCATGCATACCCCCACAAGACATGCCACCAAGGGTCTCTTCACAATCCCCAAGTCAAGTACAGACTTTGGGAAGCGCACAGTACTACATAGAGCCATGGCTACACGGAACTCTATTCCACATCAGGTGACTGATACATGCAGTAAAATCAGATTTTAAAAAACAGATAAAAATACACCTTATGGAACAGCCAGGACTGTGAAGAGACACACACAGGCACAGACACACATAAGACACGAACTCTACACACACGTGCACATGGATGTTGTATTGTAAATATGTGGTGGTGGAGTGGCGGCCTGAGGGAACACACTGAATGTGTTGGGTAAGGTGTTATGAAATGTCATGTAGTATTTGAAACTGTATGTAACTGTCTTATGTTGCTGGACCCCAGGAAGAGTAGCTGCTGCCTTTGCAGCAGCTAATGGGGATCCATAATAAATACAAATACAAAAATGTAACTCATTGCCCTGAATGCAAAGCGTTATGTCTGGAGAACACCAGGCACAGCTCATCACCCGTCTAACACCATCCCTACCGTGAAGCATGGTGGTGGCAGCATCATGCAATGTGGATGCTTTTCAGTGACAGGGACTGGGATACTAGTAAGGATAGAGGAAACAATGAATGGTCCAAACACACCCGCACAGTCGTTAAGAAGGCACGACAGGAGGTAGAAAAAGTTTGTCATGGGCACTCCAATCTTCAAAAATTTATACAGCTGTACCATTGAGAGCATTTTTACTGGCTGCATCACTGCCTGATATGGCAATAGCACAGCCCTCGATTGCATGGCGCTACAGAGGGTGGTGCAGACAGCCCAGTACATCACTGGGGCCAAGCTCCCTGCCATCCAGGACATCTATGGGCTCCCGAGTGGCGCAGTGGTTTAAGGCACTGCATCTCAGTGCTTGAGGCGTCACTACAGACCCCCTGGTTCGATTCCAGGCTATATCACAACCGGCCGTGATTGGGAGTCCCATAGGGCGGCGCACAATTGGCCCAGCATCGTCCGGGTTTGGCCGGTGTAGGCCGTCATTGTAAATAATAATTTGTTCTTAACTGACTTGCCTAGTTAAATAAAGGTAAAAATTTTTAAAAATCTATATCAGGCGGTGTGGTAGGAAGTCCCGGAAAATCGTTAAAGACTCCAACCACCCAAGCCATAGACTATTCTCTCTGCTTCCGCACGGCAAGCGGTACCAGTGCATCAAGTCTGGCACCAACAGGCTCTTGAACAGCTTCTATCCCCAAGCAATAAGGCTAATAAATAGCTAACAAAATAGCTACAAGGACTGTATCTTTATTGACCTTTTATTTTTAGCTTTGCATTGTCTCTATGCACACTCACAGGGCCCTACACACTCACAATCACTCCATCTGCTCCCTCGCACATACATTTATACTGACTCTACATTTACGTCATTTAGCAGACGCTCTTATCCAGAGCGACTTACAGTTAGTGAGTGCATACATTAATGTAACTTTTTTTGTGTGTTTTTTTTTCATATATATATATTTTTTCATACCCCCCCGTGGGAATCGAACCCACAACCCTGGCGTTGCAAATGCCATGCTCTACCAACTGAGCTACATCACCTGCCGGCCATTCCCTCCCCTACCCTAGACGACGCTGGGCCAATTGTGCGCCGCCCCATGGGTCTCCCGGTCGCGGCCGGCTACGACAGAGCCTGGATTCGAACCAGGATCTCTAGTGGCACAGCTTGCACTGCGATGCAGTGCCTTAGACCACTGCGCCACTCGGGAGACTACACACACACACACACACACACACACACACCCACACACCCACTCACATACAAGCTGCTGCTACACTACACTGTTAATCTTATATCCTGTTGCCTAGTCACCTAACCCCTATACATATCTACCTCCATCACTCCAGTATCCCTGCACATTGTAAATATGGTATTGGAACTGACCCTGTATATAGTATGCTTACTTACTTAGTGTTCTTCATATTTCTTATTTCTTGTGTGTGTTTTTTTCTAGTATTACATTGTTATGGATTATTGCATTGTTAGATTTTAAGTTTGCAAGAAAGGCATTTCACTGTACTTGTGCATGTGACATTAAAACTTGAAAATTGAAATACAGGCAAATCCTTGATGAGAACCTGCTTCAGAGTGCAAATGACCTCAGACTGGGGGCGAAGATTTACATTCCAACAGGACAATGACCCCAAGCATAGTGCCAAAGCATTGCTACAATGGCTTCAGAACAAGAATGTGAAAGCCTTTGGGTGGCCCAGCCAAACCCCAGACTTGAATCCCACTGAAAATCTGTGAAAAGACTTGAAGATTGCTGTTCACCGCCGCTCCCCATCTAATTTAACAGAGCTTGAGAAACTGCAAGGAAGAATGGGAGAAAATCCCCAAATCCAAAGGTGCTTCTACAAATTATTGACTCAGGGCTGTGAATATGTATGTAAATGCTATATATTTTTTTACGTATGGGTGGTCCTTTTTTTACGTATGGGTGGTCCTCTGTAGCACAGCTGGTAGAGCACGGCCCTTGTAACGCCAAGGTAGTGGGTTCGATCCCCGGGACCACCCATACGTAAAAATGTATGCACGCATGACTGTAAGTCGCTTTGGATAAAAGCGTCTGCTAAATGGCATATTATTCTTATTATTATATTTCATTTTCAATAAATTTGCAAAATTTTCAAAAAATATATGTTTTCACTGTCATTATGGGGTATTGTTTGTTAATCAATGTAATATATTTTGAATACAGGCTGTAACACAACAAAATGTGGAATGTCAAGGGGTATGAATCCTTTCTGAAGGCACTGTAGGCACGCACACACAGTATACTCACATCTCCTGGCACAGGCTGCTGATTTTCTGGTTCTCTGAGCTGAGCTGCTCCTTAGAAAGGTTGAGATCCTCTTTGTATTTGGAATTCTGTTGCTTCAAGGCATCCAGCTGTGCAATAACAAACAAAAAACATAGATCACTTTTAATGTATATAATACAGATTGTTTGAATCCTAACTTGCAAAAAAAAGTGGACCCATCTTGCATGTATATCAATGTATGATTTCAGTGAAAGTTGTGCACATTTTTCTCAGTCTAGCTTTCAGTCCCTAGTGAACTTGTGCCGGTATGAGTATTGAGAGTACATAAAGGACTGATGCAATTTCTTATATTATGTTGGGCGATGAAATGAATAAAAAAATAAAAGTTAAAATTATCAAATGAAAACAAAGCAAGATTTGTGGGGCTGAAAAATCCTGTTTAATGTGGAATTGGCTGGAGGAATGGCCATGTGATCTTGGTAAGTGTGAGCATGCCAGCATCTGTGGCTAAAATTCTGTTTACATGTATCACTGTATCATGCTGTGAATACTAACTTATGAAAGTGTTTTGCAACCATTACACCCCGAAACCAAACTTCTGGTAAGTTTACATGCAACACCCAGAGGTCTCTGGAAAGTTCATCTCTTTTTACTGAACTTTCAAACTTGTTCAGTTGTTCAAATAGGATCATTCAGCTCATTTGGTTTATTTGATTGAACGTTAACCCAAAGGAGCCCCTTCCACTGTCCTTAGTGAGAGCCCTATATGACAGTGACAAACCCATTGTTCCTCCCCCATACAATTTCAACAATCTCCATACTTTACTGGAAACCCATGATGCTCAACCACTTTAGTACACCCCATCTGAGGCATTACATACTCCATATACCTGACTGGTCATCTCAAGCTTGGCACTCCTGACCTCCTCCAGCAGAGACTGGGACTCACTCTTCTCTTTCTGCAGACGGCCCTTCTCTTGTGTCAGCCGCTCCACGACCTCAGCAGTCTTCCTTGAGGACTCTGCTGCCTAGGTAGTGAGGGAGAGGGGGGCATGTCAACCAGACATATATCATGAAATACCTGTAACTTACTTGGATAGGGGTTGGTTGAGGTGAACCACTATGTCCCGAGATATCATAATTTGATGGAGCCTTATTTTACACAGCCCAAATCAACTCTAACTAACCAATAGATCACCATTTCCATTTTCTCATATTGTGCAGAATGAATTGGCATGCTTTGCATGTCAGTCATCCAAATCATTCCAAACTTGATTTTGAAGCTCTAGTGGGTTAAGATGATTGTTTCTCCTATGCCATTACTATGCAATTGATGTCATCCTCAGGAATCATTGCAATGCCCACATCTACTACTACAATCAGGTAACTAGCTTTGACTACAGTGTTGGTGTAGGACCTAAAGGCTATTAGCTATTAACTAAAATTAGGAGAGTAGAGAAAAATGTACTGATTACATTCTGTGGCCTGAGAACAGATACTTGCACTAATGTACTTTGGCCCTAACATATTGTTTAAAATATCAATTAGTTGGTATCATGGTTGTGGACATTTCTCTTTTCAAACCAAATTCTAAGGGAGCGGAGATGTAACCATCTGCCCCCACCAAGGAACTTCTCAAATCACGTTCTAAGCCCAAAGGAATTTACATTTCATAAATCAACTTTTCGCAGTGGACTCGAAGCAAGAGAGCCGTTAGTAAAAGGAGATTAAGCAAATATTAAGATAAAATTAAGACTGGAGTAGCATGCAGTGAGGTTGAAACATGACCACAGCCATCTCAACGTGAGGGTTAGTTACAGGGTTTGTTAGTAGTGGAGTACCTCAAGCTGCTTGGAAAGAGCATTTTTTAGTTGAGCCTCAAGCTGGGTGACCTGCTGGGTGGCTTTGTCCCTCTCCTTGAGCAAGGCATCCTTCTGGACCTTCAGGTCTTCCAGGTTGGTGGCCATTTCTTCTCTGACCTTGGTAGACACAGATGCCTCCTCCACAGAGGCTTTGTGCTGTCCCTCCATCACTGCCTTCTCAGCATGTAGGGCCTGGGCATCTGCTTCAAGCTGTGTCTGGGCAACTTGCAGCTTCTCTACCTCCTCCATGAGCCTTGAGCGTTCCTCATCACCACTCTCTTGGCTGCTGTGGAGGGAGGAAAGGTCTTGCTCCAGCCTGGACTGTATAGCTAGGAGGTCTACCTTATCCTTCGCCAGGGAGGAGACCTCTTTGACAAGCTCCTCCAGCTTGGCAGACAGGCGCTTTCGGTCTCCATCCAAGCCACACTTTTCCTGGTCTCTCTCCTTCAGCTGTGCCTTTAAATTCTCAACCTCCCCAGCCAAGGCTTTTCTCTCCTCTCCAATATCCTTAAGGTTGGCAGACAACTCATCCATGGCCTTCTCTCTGGTGACAGATTGCTGAGTGAGGTCTTGAACTTTGACTTGCATCTGGGCATTCTCCTCAAGCAGACCCTGTCTCTCACCTAACAATCCAGTGTGGGTCGTCTTAAGTTGCCCTAAATCACTACGCAAACTATTTCGCTCAGAGGCCATTGTGTCTCTTTCAACACAAACAGAGGCAACATCTGCCTTCAGGCTGGATTCAGACTGCAGGAGGGTAATCTTCTCCTGTGTCAGAGTGAACAACCGTGTCTGTAAGTCCTCTATCTCTCTGGAGAGGTCATCCTTTGCAGAGTACAGTTTACTTCGGTCACTGGCTTCAGTCTGCTGCTGCGATTCAAGGAGCATTTTTGCCTTTGAAAGTGATTCTGTGTGACCTTTGAACTCCTGGACCTGCAGAAGCAGAACCTCTTTGTCCTTCTGCAGGCTCTTGTTAAGCTCCGTCTGCTGGGAAAGCAGGAGATCCCGCTTTTTTGTTAGGGTTTCCTTCTGCTGAATGAGTTCCAAACGCATCTGCTCAGAGTTACCTTTTAGTTTATGATGCTCCTCTGCAAGTTCAGTTTTGCTTTTTTCAAGGGCCTCCTTCTCAGAGCAAAGCTTCTGAAGCTGTGCCTGTAGATCAACCTTTTCTTTTTTCAAGGAAGCTCCTTCAGCCTCCACCTTGTCTATCTTCTGTTTTGATTCCTCCAGCAAGGAAGTAAGGTTGGAATTGGCTTGATTCACGTCATCATTGGCCTTAGAGGAGCTGTCCAACTGGTCCTGCATACTGCGGATCTCACCTGCTAGCTTGTCACGCTCTTTTGTTAGAGTACACTTTTCAGAGATCTCCTTAGTGTGCTTTTCATCCAGCTCTTCCTTTTTATGTACCAAACGGTCACTCTCCATGTTCTGCTTTTCCAGTGTTGATTCAATAGCCATCTTCTCTTTCCGTACGGAGTGTAGCGCCTTCTCGGTCTCTGCATTCTTGAGACAAAGTGCTTCCTTCTCCTTGCCAAAAGATGACAACAGCTCTTTGACTTTCTCATTAGAGGTAGCCACTTCCCCTGTAGAGAGTCTGAGCTTCTCCTTTAACTCTTCTCTCTCCTTGAGAAGTTCATCTTTCTCAGAACACACCTTTCGCTGGGTAGCAAGCAGGTCCTCTTTCTCCTGCAGGAGGTGAAGCCTCTCAGAGTCGGTAACCTCACTGCTGGTCTTGAACTTGTCCAGCATTTTGGCCAGGCTCATTTTTGAAGCCTGTAGCTCAACCTTGTCACGGACAGACTTCTCAAGATCCTTCTTAGATATATTCAGCTGATTTTGAAGCTCTGCATTCATGGCTTGGAGGGTCTCTGTGTCAAAAATGGCAGCATTAATTTGAGCAGACATCTCCACTTTATCTTTGCCCAAGGTCTCTGTCTGTGCCTGCAGCAGAGTGATTTTCAGATAGAGGTCTTCTTTTTCCAACCATAAAGACTGACACCGTGCCTGCAACTCCGCATTCTTTGCATCAAGGGATTTCTTAGCATCCCTCTCCAACAAAAGGCTATCCTTCTCAGAGGTCAGCTTCTCCCTGCTTTGCTTGAGCTCCTCCTGGAGCTCGTTCCTCTCCTTGCAGGTCTTCTCATAGACCTCTGCTAGCTGCTTCCTCTTAGTTTCCTGCTGCTGGATCTCCTGTTGGTACTTCAAAAGGACCTCATGCTTCTCCGCATTTGTCTTTTGAAGCTCCTCAATTTGGGACTGACGCTCCGCTTCAGATTGATTGAGGGATTTGTTTTTGGCCTGTGCCTCCTCAACAGCAACTCTGAGCTTCTCCACCTCTCTTGATAGCAAGGCCTTCTCTCCATCCAGCTGCCGGTTGGTGGTCCAAAGTTCCTCCTGCTCTTTTGTGAGCTTGTCCCTCAGTGTCAGAAGTTCTTCAGTCTTACCTGAGAGCTCATGGTGACTAGCTTCCGAGGCTGAGAGCTTGGCCTGGAGTTCGGAGAGTTGATTTTCGAGACTTCCTTTCTGAGCTTTGAGATCTGAGCTTTCCTTAGACATGTGCTCCAGCACTGAGATTTGCTTCTCCAGGTCTGTGGACAATCGCTCAACATCCTGCTTGGAGGAGTCGAGCTCATCAGAAAGAAACTGAGGGGAAAAAGTTGAAAGAAAAAAGGGGCATATAAAGGGAAAAGTAACAAAATAAGTCAAGCATAAGTCAAGCATTTTATTACAAAAGGTATAAAATGCAACTGGAAAAGTTAAGCTGGTGCAAGCATAAAAAAACAGTTGGGAGAAAAAGAAACCAAAGCTGACACCAAGAAAACATTGAAAACGGAGGTACACCAATGGAGTGCTTATGATTGCATGTGTATGTGTGTCTTCTAAGTGGGCTCTAATGATAGCTTCAGGTTTTCAATCAGTGTGCACTGTACCAGGAGAGGAGGAGTGTCTGCATAATTGTGTACTTTCCATTGAGAAGATTTGGACAAGTAGATAACCCTGTTTTAATTGTCTTATAAGGGTCGTGCCACGAAACGAGTCCCTTTTGCATCCCTTTGATATTTTAAGTAGAAATTGTGCACCAATATTGCATTTTAAAAGCCCTGTTACGTGAACTGAACTCTTATTTTACATTTTACATTTAAGTCATTTAGCAGACGCTCTTATCCAGAGCGACTTACAGTTAAGTGAGTGCATACATTTTCATACTGGCCCCCCCGTGGGAATCGAACCCACATCCCTGGCGTTGCAAACACCATTCTCTACCAACTGAGCTACGCAGGTTTTAATATCGTGAAACTTTTCCTTTAAAAAATAAATAAATCTAAAGAAATATCTAATAGTAAAATCATAACGTAAAAGCAGGTGAGCTGGTCCTACTCTTTTTGGCAATTGTCTGGTGTTTTGTGGTGTAAAACTGAGTGGGTCGAGCATAACACGTCAACCCTGTTACCCATAGATAGACAGGCTAGAATAAATAATAATACTGTGAAGCTTGCATTCAATTGCCCCTCCCTGTTGCACACAAGAAGATTCCATTCCCCCGGTCACAAGGGGATTTATGGATGATTTAAGATGAAATCGTCAACCCCGTTACGGTCAACCCCGTTATGGTCAACCCAGTTACTTTATTTGGTACTTAAAATACACTTATTATAGTAAATGGGAAAACATGTTTTTTATTAAGTTGAAGATGCGTTCTTCATGACAAAAAGGGATTCATTTCGTGGAACAACCCATAAATGGTGAGCACAGACTGAAGCCCTACACTTGACATACCGGCTACTCATCGTGATTTGACACTAATTAAACCACTAACAGGATTAAAGTTAATCAAGATTATTGAAGCATGACTTAAAATGTCAACATCAACATTTTTCTTTTCTTCATATATTATATTTAAGGTGTGCCTCTGCTTTCAAAGTAGGCCCTAAAACCACACCACCACATAGCCACACAGTCAATGCTGAAATGAAGATGGTGCATATATGACAACACATATTATATATTACATGGTGCAATGGGCTTGAATAAACACAGTTATCATCAAAAAGCAATAATATGAGCGGATAAAATGCTAACATGAATCTTAGGCTTAGTGTTTTTTTTATGATTCAATTTGTTTTAATGAAATCATCAAAGAATGAGGTCACTGTGATAGAACAATTATGGCACAACAGTCAGTGAACCTTTCATGAAAGTACTTCAGCTACCTCTTACCTTCCTTCCTACTTTACTACCCAAACATTAGAAGTGAGGTGGTCTAATTACCATCAAGTGAATATCAATCCTGACCATAGACCACTTCAGGTAGCACTTTATTTTACAGTTCAGAAATAACCTGCTATTTACTTAGAAACTACATAGTAAAATGGTAATTACACAATAATAACCAGGTAATTTCTGTACTGTAAAATAAAGTGCTACTGACATCTCTTATGGAAAGTGGAAAGGACTATACTTGAAAAAAGTTCTCACTTAAAACTTCAGTCAACCTGAAGCAACATAACGCAAAGCAGTGAGATTTTGGTACCAAAAGGCAGCACCTCCTGAGAACTTAAAACATGGTGGTCCTGATAATGATATGGTGGGTGCTCACCTGGGCCTTCTCTTTGTAAGGCTGCAGCTCGGTCACCAGCCTCTCCAGCTCCTGGGCCTTCTCCCTGGAGACACTCAGCTCCTGCTTGGTCTTGACAGCCTGACCCTGCAGCTCCTGGAGCTGCTTGGCATGGTGCTCTGAGGCCTCAGACAGGGCCTTCTGCCGGGAGGTCTGCAGATCCTTGGCCTGGGCCTCACCCTGCTGCAAACTCTTCTCCTACACACAACATAACATGAGGGACACAGTAACTAACAATCAATCATTTGCTGTTTGGGAGGGGGACAGTGGTAGATTAATTCAGTGTTTGGGTTAGAGACAGTAAAACGTCTATTACTGAAAATAAAAAGGTAGGCCGTTTTACAACAAACCTCTGCTCTTTACATCTAATCATCTACTTTATCCCAATCATCAACATCTCAAAGCTATCTCTGGGTTTTCACTCACCAGTTGTGTGATTTTCTCCTGCAGGTTGCTTAGCTGACCCTGATGCTCATCTCTGGCCTCCTTCAGCTCCTGCTCCTTCTGGGCTACTTCCTGCTGTTGTTGCTCCTCAGAACATGCAGCCCGTTTCTTCTCCTCTGCGAGTTGGGTCTGTAACTCTTCCATCCTCCTGGTAAAGGGGAGGAGGGGGAGATTAATCTCTGACCAAATGAGACAGATGGCATTCAAACCAACTGTGGCTTCATTGTATAGGACAGTTTTTGACTGAAACTGAAGAACTGATAAACCAGGGCGATGGACAGGCGATCATATGTTGGACGATTTTGTGCATTGTTGTCACACTCATTAAATATTGGCACTAGAGGAAACCTGATTGCGGACATCTCAGATGACAGTGACAGTAAACCAAACTATTTGAATATGTTTGAGAACACCTTTGTTTGTGACACTTCATTTCATTGTGTACCTTTCTTTCTGAGTGATGTCTTCATTCATTTTGGTAAGCTGTGCTGAAATGTCTCCTTGTGACTTCATCATGTCTGAGATGTCACTTTGGAGCTTGGCCTTGTCGTTTGCGAGCTGATCAAGCCTCTCCTCTCCAGCCTTTAGCTTCCTCTCCAGCCCTGAGTGAGAGGAAAACATAATTCAGTCATGAGTAGTGAGCCTCAATCCACATACACACATACTGTACACAGCCAATTTGTTACACCACATAAACATCATGACTAACTAGGACTCTCTATAGTGATTATTTTAGTAAAACATTGGTGATATTTTGTGGTGTTGGTCAGGGATAACTTTCTCAAAACAGGTTGCGGTTGCCCTATTGATTCAGACATTGATTCAGTCATAACAACCTGGTTTATCTAGCAGAAACTCAACACTCCTAAAACAAGCAGGTTTGGAGACCCCTGGTATAGGTTGCAAAGTTACATTACTGAATGTTCGTAGGGAGAATGGTCATATTGAGCTGTGTGTACTGAAGGTTAAGAATCCCAGTGCTGGCCAGTGTTCTGACCTGCAAGTTGGCTTCTAAGAGCCTCTGATTCGGTGGAGAGTGATGTGCACTGCTCTTCTTTTTTGCCAAGCTTCTGAAGCAACTCTGACAGAGAATGAGGGAGGGAATTTAGAATGACACTACCAGCTTGCATCATTCAAATTCTTAGCACTATACAGCACAATTGCATGCACTAATCTACTGTCTACTGCTTGGCTATGTGGACCAATATAATGAATTATTTGCATAAAACAACATCATTGCTAGTCATTAGGGACTACAGGAAAAAAAAGAGGACTGAGCACGCCCCCATTCTCATCGACGGGGCTGTAGTGGAACAGGTTGAGAGCTTCAAGTTCCTTGGTGTCCACATCACCAACGAACTATCATGGTCCAAACACACCAAGACAGTCGTGAAGAGGGCACGACAAAGCCTATTCCCCCTCAGGAGACTAAAAAGATTTGGCATGGGTCCTCAGATCCTCAAAAAATTCTACAGCTGCACCATCGAGAGCATCCTGACTGGTTGCATCACCGCCTGGTATGGCAACTGCTTGGCCTCTGACCGCAAGGCACTACAGAGGGTAGTGCGTACGGCCCAGTACATCACTGGGGCAAAGCTTCCTGCCATCCAGGACCTCTATACCAGGCGGTGTCAGAGGAAGGCCCTCAAAATTGTCAAAGACTCCAGCCACCCTAGTCATAGACTGTTCTCTCTGCTACCGCACGGCAAGCGGTACCGGAGTGCCAAGTCTAGGTCCAAAAGACTTCTCAACAGCTTCTACCCCCAAGCCATAAGACTCCTGAACAGCTAATCATGGCTACCCGGACTATTTGCACTGCCCCCACACCCCATCCTTTTTACGCTGCTGCTACTCTGTTAAGTATTTATGCATAGTCACTTTAACTCTACCCACATGTACATATTACCTCAACTACCTCAACTAGCCGGTGCCCCCGCACATTGACTCTGCAACGGTACCCCCCTGTATATATAGCCTCCCTACTGTCACTTTATTTTACTTCTGCTCTTTTTTTCTCAACACTTTTTTTGTTGTTGTTTTATTCTTACTTTTTTTGTTTAAAATAAATGCACTGTTGGTTAAGGGCTGTAAGTAAGCATTTCACTGTAATGTCTGCACCTGTTGTATTCGGTGCATGTGACCAATACAATTTTATTTTATTTGATTAGATTAGCTTGAAGTCAACGTTTTGTTTCTAGGAAAATGATATGCCTTGCAGATAAAAACCCATGTAACCCAAGTAATAAGAAAACAAAGACTAACGTTGTTACAGGTACAACATCCTGTAACGTTGATACACGTAAAAAGTCAATATATTTACCTTGCATAGTTTGTGTTGACTTAGCCTGATCGTCTGTGCTTTCTGACAGTTTTTGTTTCTGAGGAAATAAAAAACTTTGATAAATACATTTGTGCATGCGTAGTGTCAGAGTTTTCCATGACAATAATTGACAACTAATAATGTTGTACACAAGTTATTTAACCAACATTTTTATTTAAGGATTATATCTTTGATGGTATCGTAAGTCTGTAATTGAAGGTAGATACTTTGTATCATTCCCATGAAAACAAAAAGCTAAAATTACCTGAGCTTACCTTGAGCCCTACAGTCCCATCAGTCATGCAAGGCCACCCATTCCCAACCCCTGGCGCCACACCACCAGTCATAAGCCCTAGTACTCACCAGGTTGCCCATCTCTTGCTCCAGGGAGACCTTGTCCTGCTGCACAGAGGTCAGGCTCTGCTGCAAGGAGAGGAGCTCCTGCTGCTTGCCCTCCAGCTCAGAGTTCAACTCACTGACCTACAGCCACAGGCCAAGGGGTGACACCATGGACATGGAGGACATTTTGAAGGGGGAAAAAATTATGAGTGACAAAATGAATGAAGGAAAAGCTAATAATGAATAAAATGAAACCAAAGTAAATGGCTTTGAAGGTAGGGATAAATCATTACAACATGAAATACCACAGGTGTGTTTCATGCTTATTTTTCTGGAAAACTCACAAAATAGACACTGAATATGGTCATGGACAATGGGAGTATGACGTGGGTATGGACCTACCTTGTTGCCCTGTGAGCGAGCTTGGCTCTGGGCCTCCTCCAGCTGGGTCCTCATGCTCTGGAGCGCATGGTTACCTTGGCCTGCCTGGGACTGCAGGGCCTCCATAGCTGCCACCTGCTCCTGGACCTCCTTGGCCCTGTCCTGGGTCTGCTGGACTAGCTTAGCCTCATGCTCCTCCAGCTCCTTTACCTTCAGCTCAGCAGTGTGCAGTTTGCCCAGCACGTCCTCCATCTCCACCAGGTGCTGCTCCTCAGCACTCTCCACGCTGGACCGCAGGCTCTCCTCCAGGCACTCCTTCTCCTCCGACACGACCAGCAGCTGTTTGTTGAGCTCCGCCGTCTCCCGTGCCCGGGCTGCAGCCTCTGCCTCACACCTGGCCCCCGCCTCCTCCAGTGCCTGCTTGTGCTCCACCTTCAGCCTCTCCAGGGCACTCTTGGTCTCCACCAGCTCTGTCGCCTGGGAACCGGCCCCTTTGCTGAAGGACACCTGCAGCACCTCCATGGCCTGCTGGTGTGAGACGATGGCAGAATCCAGCTTGGAGCGCCACAGCTCTATGACGTCTGCATTCTCCTTCTCGTTCTGGCTGAGGCGCAGCTTCAACTGCTCATTGTCTGTGGAGATCTTGGTGGATGAGACTTGGAACTGAGACAATGCCTCACTGTGGGCCTTCTCCTCTGCTGCCAGCTTCTCCTTCAGCCCAGCCAGCTCAACCTGTTGCTGGTCTTCCTGAGAGGCCAGCTGAGCCCTCAGAGAGCTCACCTCCTCCAGGAGAGGGGAGGTGGTGGAGTCTGAGCCCTCTGAGCTTTGCTGGACCTCCAGACGCAGCCGCAGGTCAGCCACCTCCCTGGTCCTAAGAACCAGGTCCCTCTCCAGTTCCATGATGCGGGACTTCTCTGACACCGTGGCCACCTATGGGACGGCACAACTCTGGCTCAAACAAAACTGTGTTCTTCAACCTTTGGAAACATTGTGATTGTGTGTGTACTGGCAGGACAAGAGGGTAGCTGTTCAAGCCCCCTGTCAGACAGGTCTACATGGGTCAATATTTTTCAAAGAGGGTCCTATACAAACAGATGTCCTTCATAGCTGCAGTAGTAGCGCAACGAAAGTTAACAGTGCAGACCTACATTTGCATTGGATGCCTACAGTTGAAGTATTACACCGCCCTCTAGTGGATATAAGCTGGAACCATATCAGTCATCACACATAATTCTTGTGTGTTGAACTACTGTCCCCAAATGCTGCAGCTTCTACTGGTTTTCATCCATACCTTTATATCAGAGGTCAATTTAGACCAGAGAAACTAGATAGTTAAGACTCTCACCAACTAATTACGTCAACTGATTAATTAAGAACCAGGGGAAAAACTAAACCAGCAGAGACTATGGCCCTTGAGGATGGCAGTTTAATACCCCATCATTGGCTGTGAAACCCCTGACGGAAGCATAAAAGCATTGCAAAGTGGTGGGAGTAGGAGATAGACTTGCAAGAGGGGGATCCCAGATGGGCAGGACAATTGGGGTTGGTAGGATTGGGGGGATGGGACAAAGGACAACTGGGAGCAAGGGATTGTTAGGTATAGGGGTGCTGTCTGGCTACCATGTGGCACCAGAAAACCTGTGGAGACTGTGGGCAGAGGAAAACATGGAGAAAGAGGCAAGAGAATACCAACTCTACGATGGAGAACCCTAATGATCCTATCTGTAGTGTGGCCCTGAAATGGCGTAAGTGGAAGTCTTGCTGTTCTCTGGCTAAAACCTAATCTAAAAAGAACAGGATTGTTGTATAGTTTCCCTATAAGTATAGTATTGGTTTTTTTGGGGGGGGGGGTTTGGTGGGGGGGGGGGGGGTGGATATTGCATTTCAACCCAATAAACAAGGTTTAAATCCTGAGTGTTTCAAATGTTTTGAGTGACAGCAGCCATGTGGTTAAGATTCCTGTACTGGTGAGACACAGGAATGGGAATGGTTCATGTTTGACAAAATGGGAAGAGAATGAAAGCCTGGGAAAGATGCTGCATATTATAAAGCTACGTTGCAATTGGTTCTCTGACTTACAGCTGAGGCCAAGAGATAATATTCTTAGATGCTACTTGCTAGCAAGTAAAAAGATTAGTCAACTACACCATTCAATGTTTGCTTAGTGACATTCAAATGCAGTTAAATACAGACTCCCCATTCACAGGCCTCTATGGCAGGAATGGTAAAAATAAAAACATTAAAAAAGCTTATGTAAGCCAGTGCTACAGGTATCTGGAGATCCTCTGTAACCCCTTGTACCCCCTCCCAAGATTTGCAACATTACCCCCGGTACCATCCCCACTCCACCCCTCTTTCCAAACGCACCACCGTGCAGAGAGCAAGATCCATTACCCTAGTGTCTTCTAATTCTCTCTGGAGTTTCTCAGCTTTGGTCTTTTCAAAGAGCAGGCTCTGTTCAAGCTCCTTAATGTGGGCATGCTCCAGTTTGGTCTGCGTCTGTTAGTAAAGAAGGGAGAGGAAGAGAACACAACCAGTGCCACCATCACATGCCAGCCCAACGCAGACAGAGGGAGAGTGAGGGAAGGTTTGGGGGTGGGTGAAGGAGGCGGTGGAGGGAGGTGGAGTGGGGATGGGAGGGAAGGGTACCCCATGCAGATCCCATGCCTAGCACAGGTGAGCATTGGGGATGTTGCTGGAGGATGATATGAGGATATGGTAGAAGCAGCAAGGGAGAGGGGAGATGTGTTATGCTTATGGATGTGCAGTTGTTGGTTGTGATGAGAGGAATCCATGCAGAATGACCTGGAGAACAACCAAAGGGAAAGACTAGGAAGGAATGCATATAAGTATGTGTGAACAACAGAGTGAGTGAGCCAGCAAATGAGTGCAAATCGAAATGGACGTGACCACATAGAAAAAGGGAAAGCACTGTTGGCATGTTTTTGCGTTCCCCACCACCATCTCCTGCTTTACTCTATGATTTTGAGGGCCTTTATGCACATTCATGTGAACAGGAAAGGGAGATGAAACTTAACTATTCACATGAAACAGCAAAGTGTGGCAGGTTGTAACAGCAACACTGCTCTCTCTCTCTCTCTTTTGTGATCACACCCATTTGTTTAGTGAGTATAAAGATCACTGATCAGTAGATAAAACAATATCAGAAACCATGTACATTTATTTTAAAAAACAACTTAGAACAGACAAATCAGTAAATTACTAGTATCCCTCCCCCAATTCATTAAGTTCAACCTTAAGATTAAAATGCCCCTAATTTTTCAATATCCCCTATTCTGAATTGCTACCAAGTGCAGAACATTTACTTCTGATTTCAACAGATTGCAATGGAAGGTTGGAGCTCAAGACTGTGACTAGGCTGTGAGATGGTGGAGGGGAGCATCTCCAGTGGTTCCATGCTTAGCACTGGGCCAACATGAAGGACAAGAGGAGAAGAAAAAGCAGCAGTAACATCACTGACTGAAGCAGTTACAGGACAACATTAGTACACCGTCAGTTGCTTGAAATCAACAGAAAGCATTTGCTGTGTTGGTTTGGTTTGTTGGTTTTAGTGTTTTTTTTAAAAGCTGCATGCATGTGAATAACACATTTTTTGCAGTAAGTAGTACACAGACCATTAGTATGCAATCAAATGAAGATTTAAAAAAAGGTGGTATTACTTCTAACCCTGTAGCACTCATTTTTAAAGATAACATTTGAAGTGGGACGCCTTCGGGGTAATTGAGATGGTCCCCTGATTGGAGTTGCACTGTGGGATAGATAATGACACAAATCAAACATGTGTACATGTTAAACAGCCCCCGAGTCCACTTGCTTCCCAGTCTCTGCTCCGTAAACAAAGATATGGTTTGCCAAGGGAGAGGCAGAAATAGTAAGTCGTTTTCCAAGAAATAGCCCACCTTTCCTCATTCCCATCAAGTAGCACTAGAGCGATGGTGAAGAACACTTTGCTAAGATTACAGTCTGATGTGCCACTGGTATTTCTTAGCGAGAGGGGAGCAGGAAAGAAATAAACACCAACTACTTCCTAAAATTATCCTTGGCTTGGGTGTTTATTTCAAGCAAACTGTGTTCCAAAACATTCAAGCTGTGTTAATTTTCACACGCTAGATAGTCATGAAATGAGGAAGACCTCCAGGTTTGTGAAGCTCGGTCTAAGCAAGGCACTGCACATATTTGGATAAATCACAATACATGGATAATAGTTTGGGGGGTTATTTGTACATCAGTGAGTCTTCACAGTGCCATGCTCAGGCTGATCGTCTACAATGCGCAGAAGCATGACTTCATGGACACTAAAATAACATCAGAGCCAGGCTCAGTCAGGTCTGATTCTGACAGCCCTGCTCCATGGAGGAACGGATGACCTTGCGGTCACTTGTGTCATCCGTACCATAGAGAGAATGAGATATCAGTCTTGAGTCTCATTTTACTGGGCATATGAGATGGCATCCATCATGCAACAAACCTAATAGGACTGTGGGCACTGGGCAGGACGGATCTCTGATATAGACAGACTGCAGAGAATATTTAATGCTCAGTCCTTGGCATACTAGATTAAGGAGATGTCACTGACAAGGACACCAATCACTCACTTGCCAACTTAAAATCACAAGCCGGTGGCCAAACTGGTGATAAAATGCATACAGAGTAGCCAAATTGGGAACTTCGATAAGATTTATTTATTCATTATGTTAGAATCTAATGCACATTCTCCACCACTTTTAATCTCAGGGATTTTGAGCAGGGATGTTGCGGAGTGACTTTTAATTCACAGATGGACTGAGTTGCAGTGTTGGTGTATTTCTGATATACCTCAGCATCAAATTGATTAATTACAGTCACTTAGGGGCAGATTTTAACTTAAGATAGGGACATGTCAAAGATGTGCATACAAAGGAAAGCTGTATCCATATTTTTGTGTTTGTGTAGAAGAGTGTGTGTGTGTTTACCTCCAGGTCTCCTTTGGTAATGCAAGCTTCCTCCACGCGGAACTGGAGGTCCTCCACTTTCCTATCACACAGAGCACAGTTCATATTATAGTTCAGGAAAATTTAACATAAGAGGTCTGAAAAAGGAATCAAGGATCAAGGGTTTGAAACATGGTTTCAATCTGACCTTGGAATCATATTCTAGGTTCTAAATTCAACACTCCACACTACACTGTGGAGATTGGATGTACATACTTCATATGTCCTTTTCCCCCCATTTCCCTCCTGTGATACTGAACTGATAACTTTATAACACATCTTTCCACCATCAGAACATAGTTATACCCATAGTTAGACCCGCTACCCCCAGGTCTCCCTTCACCCCACACCCCTCTGAAGCCTCACCTCTTCTCCTCCTCCAGCTGATTGAGCAGCTCAACCTTCTCCTTGTCTGCAGCCTCCACCAGGGTGCGTAATTGGTCCATCTTGGCCTCCATCTTCACAACACATGAATATATATTCATTAAACAGATCATGAATATAAGTTGAGAGACACTCAAGAAAAAACTACATTATGGAAGGCCGCTATGCATCCAGCGGTTGGCTGTAAAAACACAAGTGTTTTCTCATTTACAGTGGTGAGCATTGGCAGCAGATGGCAGTACAGAGGTTTATGTAACATGAGTGTGTGATTGAGGTACAGCATTAAGGTGTTTTCATGGGTCCTCCTCAAATTACGCAAGGTTTGTCATTGTCATGTATGAAACTAGGTATGTATTGACCTGCTCCTGGTCCTCTCTCAGCAGGGTCAGTTCCTGCTCCACCTCGCCCACATGGGTGGTTGCCTTGGCCACCTCTGCCCTCTCCATGTCCCGCTCCGCCATCAGCTGCTCGATGTGCTGCTGCTTCTCCTTCAGCACCTCCTGAACTGCTGTGGTGCCAGAGATCTTTCTCGAGTACCGCGATGACGTTTCTGTCAGCTGTGGTGGGGGGTAGAAGAAGAGTGTTTAGACTGGTTAATGGGGGGGATGGGAGATCTACTCAGGACAGCAAAAGACAAGACCAATTAAAGTATGAATGCACTTATGAGTGTGTGTATGTGTGCCTCACCAGGCCTGTGCGGCTGGGCTTGGCGCTGACGGAGGAGGCCACAGAGCTCATGGAGCTGATGGAGGAGGCGCTGGGGCTGCGCTTCAGGCCTGAGGGCGTGGCCACCAACTTCCGCACCGTGGTCTTTGCCTTGGCCGGCGTGGTGGAGGGGAAGCCGATGCGCGTGACCTTGTGGACTGGGGCAAACAGGCCATACTTGGGTTGGCATTGAAAGTATCTGCGGAAATACAAATGAAGGGGATAAGACAAAAAACAGATGTCACTGCCCCCCCAAAATAATATATTAATAACACCCATAAGACTTGGCTGTACTTAACTCTCTTTTAAACAAATTTGTTGCAAGAGTGGCATCTTTCTCAAGCCTGTGTGATAATCCTCTCTGGTCTGATTACCTGGTTCCTGCCACTGCCCCATCGTTTTTTCCAAGGGGCTCATCCAGTTCCACACCACACCACTCTCCCTTGGCAAAGTCTGTTTCACCAAGAAAGCGAACCACACCAGCTTTTGTGCCACCAACCTGCAGTGAAGGTACAAAGAAAGAGTTCAGATTACCGAAATAATCTCAAAAGCAGGGTAACTAGCTTGGCAAAAAAAGAATAATAATAATAATTAAAAAACTAGCTTGGCATGAGATAAAACCAAGGCAACAGTAGAAATAATAATCATAATAATCAATACATGCAACCTGTCAACATCACAGGGCTGATAAATACATCATCAGTGTTTCCTTTTCTAATTCTCTAAAGCAGTGATCACTTTCTAAGTCAAAATGCAAGCCAAGATCTACCGCTCTGATTTGTTTTAAACATGACTTAAAAAACGTAAGCCTATGCAACATTAACCAATTAGAAACAGTTCTGTAGCAATGAGGTTTGTGCAGTAGGCTATAGGCCCATTACATTATCTCTGCATATTGGCTATGCTTGAATTGCCCTGCCAATGTTGTTCTTCTCAGACCATTTAAAAATGATATGGTAATAGATAATTAGTTGTATTACTTGTGAGGGACAGCTTTTTTTCTTTCTTTCTTGGGACTGATGGCCTGTCTGAGGGGAGGGGAGGAGCAGCGGTGAGCTGCCTATCAACCGACTCACCGTCCCTCCACTCTCCCGTGAGTGCAAGTAGGGAGAACGTGCATTTTATGGCTTATAAAAGCTTTGAACAAAGTGTTGAATAACAACTTAAACATGAACTTAATCATAAAAACAGCAGCACTTTGCTGTATTCGTTGAGTCACTCTGTAGTCATGGTTTTAAAAGTTTTGAAATCTCACAGTATCAACTTTGCTGTGTTTGAGGCTTCTTTTTACAGTCTATGGCTTGAGGAAACTGTGCAGACACAGTGATCTGAGATACCTGATTGGCCAGCGGTAGGCCTATAGGTGCACTTGACTTGCTCTCTGGGGCTGCCGGGTAGGCGGAGTTCTCTACCTTCAGACACATGAAATGGTTAAATATGGGAACACACAACTAGGGCTGCTGAATCAAGTGCACCTAGCACCAACAGCGCAAAACAAATAAAAAATATAGGAATGCAAAGCTTTATCGTTTGTTTTTTTACAGAAACCTTTGGTGATCAACTAGTAATGCCTTGGAGATCGACCAGTCTATCGCGATCGACCGGTTGGTGACCACTGCTTAAAAGGGAGAAGTGAGGAATACTGTGGTGAGAAAAGCACCCTCCCTTCCTCTGAGCGTGGGTGACATTTCCTCTTAACACAATGTGTTACACAGCCTACAGACTGAGGCTGACGGAGAGAAAGAAAGAGGGGCCTTGGACAACATTCAGGACGGAAGGTGCTCATAAGAGGACAGAGCTCGGCTGTGAACTGAGGGACTATACACAGAAACTGAACTCACTGAATTGAGCACACTGAGGAGTGTTAGAACGGATGTTCTCATTGGTCAGTGAGAAGTTGGGAAGGAGGTGGGTGGAGGTTGTGTTCCGCAGACACATTCCTGAGAGATTACCATGGTAAGCGGGAGGAGAGGTCAGTCGTGTGACTCTGAGACAAGCCTGTATTTACAGCAATGTGGCCACACAAGGGGAGGGGGCGGGGGCTTAGCCCTCTCTAACCTGGAACAGGGGTAGGAGGCCAGGAGACAGTCTCAATAGGGAGAGGGGGAACATTTGAGACAAACTTGCATAGATGGACTAGCAGGCAGGTGCTTCAGGATAAAAGCTGCCTGATCCAAAATAACAGCTGCATTCAAAGTGTAAATGAACTAAGCCTTACCAAAACGCGGTCTCCATTCTTCAGCTCCCTCTCCCCCTTCTTGACCGAGCTGGTGTCTGAGAGGTTGGAGATGGACTCACTGTTTGTGCGTGCCAGGTTGGAGGCTAGAGTGGCTGGCGTAGCGGGCGTTGCAGTTGAGGCTTTTTTGACAGAGGGGGTGTGAGAGGCCAGGCTGGCGGTGGAGGGGGTGGGCGACCCAGCCCGAGACGGAGGTGCTGTCTGAGTACCGTTGGCATCGCCCTCTGTGTAGGACAGCTTAGAGGGGCGCGTGAATATGCCCTTCAGGGCCTCGCACTGGAAATAGCGCACCCCTGCCACCGAGCCATCGTTCTTCCCAATGGGCTCATCCAACACTATGCCAGCCCACTGCCCTGGTGCAAACTGAGCCTCCCCCAGGAACTGCACCACGCCAGGTTTGTTCCCATTCACCCACACTCGCTCCCCGACCTGGAAGTTCTCCCCACCATCTTGTGTCCCAGCTGCACTGCCATCTGGAGTGGACTTGTCGGCTGCAGCTACTTTGGATCCTGCTGCATGGAAACAGGTGGAAATCATCCAATTACTGCCAGTGTGCCAACGCCACTAAAGTTGGTCCGTGGTTAGCTGAGCTAACAGGGTTAACATGAAGGAATTAGCCCACAGAAAATGACACCTTTACCCTGCTATTCTTACCCCAGAGTGAAATATGTTACATACAGTGCCTTCAGAAAGTAGTCACACCCCTTTACTTTTCCCACATTTTGTTATTACAGCCTGAATTTAAAATGTATTAAATTGAGATGTGTCACTGGCCTACACACATTACCCCATAATGTCAAAGTGTAATTATGTTAGACATTTTTACAAATTAATAAAAAATGAAAAGCTGAAATGTCTTGAGTCAATAAGTATTCAACCCCTTTGTCACGACAAGACTAAATAAGTTCAGGAGTAAAACATTGCTTAACAAGTCACATAAGTTGCATGGACTCACTCTGTGTGCAATAATAGTGTTTAACATGATTTTTTTATGACTACCTCATCTCTGTATCCCACACATACAATTATCTGTAAGGTCCCTCAGTCGAGCAGTGAATTTCAAACACAGATTCAACCACAAAGACTAGGGAGGTTTCCCAATGTCTCACAAAGAAGGGCACCTATTTGTAGATGGGTAAAAATAAATAAAGCAGACATTGAATATCCCTTTGAGCATGGTAAAGTTATTAATTACACTTTGGATGGTGTATCAATACTCCCAGTCACTACAAAGATACAGACGTCCTTCCTAACCCGCTCAGGGATTTCACCATGAGGCCAATTGTGACTTTAAAACAGTTACCGAGTTTAATGGCTGTGATAGCAGACAACTGAAGATGGATCAACTACATTGTATTTACTCCACAACACTAAACTAAATGACAGAGTGAAAAGAAGGAAGCCTGTACAGATTACAAATATTCCAAAGCATGCATCTTGTTTGCAATAAGGCATTAAAATAAAATTGCAAAAAATGTGGCAAAGAAATTAACTTTATGACCTGAATACAAAGCGTTATGATTGGCGCAAATCCAACAAGACATCACTGAGTACCACTCTTCATATTTTCAAGCGTGGTGGTGGCTGCATCACGTAATGGGTTATGCTGTTTATCTACAAGGACTAGGGAGTGTTATTGGATAAAAAGAAACTAAGCACAGGCAACATCCTAGTGGAAAACCTGGTTCAGTCTGCTTTCCAATAGACACTGGGAGACAAATTCACCTTTCAGCAGGACAATAACCTAAAACACAAGGCCAAATATACACTGGAGTTGCTTACCAAGACGACATTGAATGTTCCTGAGTGGCCTAATTACAGTTTTGACTTAAAGGTGCTACACATAGGATTTCTTAGAATTTTTGCATTGTAATTTCAGAAAATTTCCATAATATATCTGCCGCTAATAGTGGAATGACAGTGTTTCACAGTATTACTTACCAGGCAGTGAAATGTCCTTGTTTTCGAAAGAAAATAAAAAAAATTGTCCATTAAAATAACATAAAATTGATCAGTGTAGACATTGTTAATGTTGTAAATGGCTATTGTAGCTGGAAACAGCTGATTTTTAATGGAATATCTACATAGGCGTACAGAGGCCCATTATCAGCAACCATCAGTCCTGTGTTCCAATGGCACGTTGTGTTTGCTAATCCAAGTTTATCATGTTAAAAGGCTAATTGATCATTAGAAAACCCTTTTGCAATTATGCTAGCACAGCTGAAAACTGTTGTGCTGATTAAAGAAGCAATAAAACTGACCTTTATGAGACTAGTTGAGTATCTGGAGCATCAACAATTGTGGGTTCGATTACAGGCTCAAAATGGCCAGAAACAAATAACTTTCTTCTGAAACTCGTCAGTCTATTCTTGTTCTGAGAAATGAAGGCTATTGCATGCGAGAAATTGCCAAGAAACTGAAGATCTCGTACAACGCTGTGTACTACCCCTTCACAGAACAGCGCAAACTGGCTCTAACCAGAATAGAAAGAGGAATGGGAGGCCCCAGTGCACAACTGAGCAAGAGGACAAATACATTAAGTGTCTAGTTTGTGAAACAGACGCCTCACAGGTCCTCAACTGGCAGCGTCATTAAATAGTACCCGCAAAACACCAGTCTCAACGTCTTCAACAGTGAAGAGGCGACTCCGGGATGCTGACCTTCTAGGCAGAGTGGCAAAGAAAAAGCCATATCTCAGACTGGCCAATAAAAAGAAAAGATTAAGATGGGCAAAAGAACACAGACACTGGACAGAGGAAGATTGGAAAAAAGTGTTATGGACAGACGAATCAAAGTTTGAGGTGTTCGGATCACAAAGAAGAACATTTGTGAGACGCAGACCAAATGAAAAGATGCTGGAGGAGTGCTTGATGCCATCTTTCAAGCATGGTGGAGGCAATGTGATGGTCTGGGGGTGCTTTGGTGGTGGTAAAGTGGGAGATTTGTACAGGGTAAAAGGGATCTTGAAGAAGGAAGGCTATCACTCCATTTTGCAACGTCATGCCATACCCTGTGGACAGCGCTTGATTGGAACCAATTTCCTCCTACAACAGGACAATGACCCAAAGCACAGCTCCAAACTATTTAGGGAAGAAGCAGTCAGCTGGTATTCTGTCTATAATGGAGTGGCCAGCACAGTCACCGGATCTCAACCCTATTGAGCTGTTGTGGAAGCATGGGGTGAAATCTCTTCAGATTACCTCAACAAATTGACAACTAGAATGCCAAAGGTCTGCAAGGCTGTAATTGCTGCAAATTGAGGTTTCTTTGACGAAAGCAAAGTTTGAAGGACACAATTATTATTTCAATAAACAAATATTTCTAACCTTGTCAATGACTACATTTCCTATGCATTTTGCTATATTTCCTATTCAAACTAATTTCATGTATGTTTTCATTGAAAACAAGAACATTTCTAAGTGACCCCAAACTTTTGCACGGTAGTGTATATATTTTTTGTCGGCTTGAAAATCTATGGCCAGACTTGAAAATGGCTATTTAGCAATGATCAACAACCAACTTGACAAAGCTTGAAAAATTTAAAAAAGAATAATGTGCAAAATGTTGTACAAGCCAGGTGTGCAACACTCTTAGAGACTTACCCATTAAGACTCACAGCTGTAATTGCTCCCAAGGTGATTCTAACATGTATTGACTCAGGGGTGTGAATACTTATGTAAATTATGTTGTTTTCTAAACATGGGTGAGAATTTTATTTTATCAATTTTGAATTCAGGCTGTAACACAACAAAATGTGGAATAAGTCAAGGGGTATGAATAATTTCTGAAGGCACATTCTACTGTCAACATTTGATCAGGCCCAATAATTAAGGTTGCCTGATTTTCTATATACAAATAAATTGGCTCATATGTTAATAGCTGAGCAATGCACTAATAATGTAATTTACATGAGGTCAAACTTCACAGTCGCATTTTCACATGACCTCTGACTGTCAACTAGGGGTGTAACGATTCGTTTTAACAACGATTCGATTTGTATCACGATTCGTGGTTGTCGATACGATTCAAGGACGATATTGGTTCATTTAGAACGATACGATCCGAAACGATTCAGTGACTTGAAATCGATTCAGTAACCTTTTAGCCAAAAATTCAACCAGTGTGACTGAAATAAATACCTGGATACTGGACAGTGCAGGTGAAGTTTCCTAGATTCCTGTTTCTTGTAAGGACCGCAATGGTGGCTTGATAATTTCTCGCTCGTCGGCTTCTCCTCTGTCGTCCGCCATGCTATGTTTTGTTGTCTTGGCGCCTTTGCGCTGCTGCTGGCGCGATGACGTCACGGATAGGCAGACTGAATCGAGTAATGTTTAAAGCCTTTATCATTAAAAGTGCTAAGAAAAAACATCCATATAAAGTCTGACGTGCTTAAATCCAATGGGTTATTTCCTAGTATCGATACAATCGATTTATTACATTTTAAAACGATGTTAGATCGATATATGTTGTCCAAAAGGCCAACTCGCCGAGCACAGATCGATGTAGTTGGATCATAGGAATATAAATCGATACATCGATGTAGTAGATGGATCGTTACACCCCTACTGTCAATGCTTTGAAACAAAATACCAGCACAGGGTTCACATTTTACACACCAAGATAAAGCCTGCTGTGTCTAAAGCCTCTAGTGGACTCAATTCACCAAATGTATCCTACTTAAAAATATAGTTAATCCACCATATTGGAGAGATTTGGGGGATAAATACTATAGCTTACAGATCCAAAATGGCCAGTGACTGATCAGCATAATGTCTACATCAAATCTAGTCAAGCCGCATCAGCAGATCCAGACTGATGAAGCAGTAAAGCCCATTTTATTGCAACCGTAAGCTGATTGATGACATCAAAGCCAGAGGTTAGGTGCTGTAGCTACCACAGCCCCTAATGAGAAGCAGCAAGGCCATGAGAACTGCTGGTGCTAAGAGGGACGAGGACCTCTTACCAGTGGAGGGTGTGGTCTTGGTGGCTGGCGCCCCAGTCGACCTGCCTATCTTGCTGGGCGCTTTGAGCCCGCTGGGCTTGGTTGTGCTCATGTTTCCTCTCTGTGTGCTGTGAAATCCACAGGGCCTTTCTGTCCGTCAGTGGGCGCCGGCTGACCCCAAATCATTGACGTAGTTGTGCTCAGACTCTGAGATGACAACGCTCTGAGTCATGCACCAAAATAAAACTAACAAATATAAAAAGTAGGAAAAGGGGTGAGGGAGAAAAAAAAGGTGCCCCTCAAAAAAGGACCCTGTTAAGAGAGAGGAGAAAGACAAATTAGTGCAACAAACAGCTTTGTCTAGTATGATTTGAGTTAGCCTAGTTTTTTCATATTATTTACTTTGCATAGAAGACTACTAATGATAATATCATGAGCAGCATAATAAACCACATTAAAGGGAACGGGATTTTCACAGAATAATCATATACTTCAGTCTTCAGTTAAATGGAAAGCCAGGGGGAGGGTTGTTTCACTGCTCCAATATTTACTTTGTGGACGTGACTTTTCAAATACTGGCCTCTTATATTGATTTGTTCACTTGGTATAATTAGTTCCACTTCAACTTCATGGGTGGCACTGACAAGGCTCACTGTTTACAATGGATTAATGGGGAGCATAGACGGGCTGAACAGTCTGCCCTTGACATTCAAATGATCTTATGTTCTTATGTCATTGCAGTCTTATGACAACAAGCAGTGCTCCCCCCTGACTGACCCGTCACAGTGAGTCCTATACTAAAAATACTCTGTCACAAGCCAGGCCACATTCAAGTGTCTCTGTGTGTCTGTGCGCATGTATTTGTCACCACCATACTAAAACAAACTCTCTCTTTCCCTTTCTCTCCCTCTCACGCACACAAAGTAAATCAGTCTTCTAAATCAACAACCCTAGTACCATTCAGAAACACAGGCAGGAAAAAAAAGAAAGAGTGAAAGAGAAACAGTGAGATGCACCTGACCGGAGCTTAAATCCTCTTTCAACACCAGACATAAAGACCCCAAGGCCCGCATTTGTCAGAGTACACTCATTTTGTTTTGCTCAATAACATGATGTTCTACCCTCATTGCTTTAAAGATTAATTGAAACGCTAAAACAAACAGTGATATCATGTTATCATATGTATGTAATAATATACAGTGAAAGGAAACTTTAAAAAACGGCAGAAAAGCAAAATATTTGACTTTTGTCAAACACCTCGTAAGTACTTGTAAAATGTAGGTCGCCGCCATATTGGAATGACGTATACGACTGACGTCATCGGAATGGTAGCGTGAGATTGCGTCTCAGCCCCGCACATCAGCACACAGAGGTCAATTTAAAAATGGAAGGCCGATCCATCGAAGCTGTCCCTGTTCATCCCCTGGCATATACCTTTAAACCCGTTCTTCATGGTCCCCTAGTAGCACCTTCAGTACCTTTTGAGCAACAGAATGTAGTTGTAGACAGATTACACCACAGGCTGAACAATTGCAAGTGGTGCACTTGTGGCAACTGCACTGCGATGCCCATGGTCACAGAGTCGATCTGTTGCAAAGAAGCAGCCCTACATAACCTGCGTGTCGGTGGTGGACCAGGACAACTACCTTGTATCGTTAATCACAGGCTCTTCACCATGCTCTGTGAAGGGCGAGACCTTTTGGAGGTGGCCATGCTATCCCTGAAGGACATACAGGCAGAAAGTTTGGTGCGCCCTATAAACAGAAGGTACCGTAAAGTTACTAGACATTGTTTACATTTTAGAAGAGCTAGTTAGCTAGTAAGGAACTAGCTAGCTAATAGATTATCCTGCATTGGCACTGCGCTGTTTGATCATATTGATGTGTATTGGGTGAAAGTGGAAATGTCATAAACGTCAATGAATGTAAACAAAACCTTAATCAGAGGCAGTGTGTTTGCTTGCTAGGAAAGCTACCCAGTTAGCTAGCTAAATAACTAAGTGAAGTTTGGTGAATTATGTCGCCCCACAACAAGTTGCCAAGATAGTTAGCTAGCTAGTTGTTTACAACCACTCTACAGTCTTTTGCTGGCTACTGTAATGACAGGTGCGTTTGTTTACATTTTACAAATCGTGACACAATCCAATTTCAATGCCTATTATAATATTAGTAGGCTAACTTGCATCCATTCCAATATCTAATAATCTATAATTAGCTCTTTTCTGATTACCATACTTCTGATTACAATCATAAGCATTCTATTGCAGGACCTCAATAATTTCTTAGAATAAAGGCACATTTAATAATCAATAGGCATGTTTCAGTCTTTACAGATTGACTGCCTATAGGCAATTCACCCTGTGGGCAAGAGGACACTTGGGAAGAGGAACAGAGTGCCTATACCTGCCTGTGTGGTCCATGCAAATTATCGCAGTTCCCCTCTGAAGAGGACTACAGATTTGAATATGCTTTTTATGATGGAAACATTTGACTCGCTCATGCAGCCTACTTTACAGTTTGTTGTTTATCCTTCATCTATTTTATGCAGCCTATTGTAGTAAATTGTGTAATGAATAACAAAATGGCTACATTTGAATTTCTCCATGCTAAATGTCTTTATGTAATTTAATTTATTCCACCACCACCAAATTGTTCCATATAGAGTATATAAGAAAGGATGCCTCTCTCGAGCTGTTCTCATTCTAGGTATGACGTCTCTCCCTGCACAGTGAGCATGTGAGCACCTTCTATTCACGCTCCTGGTGCATGCCAGGACAAGTTCACAGTTATTGTAAATAACTAATGGTGCTTTCAAGACAAATGGGAACTCGAAAAACGGACTTAAGTTGGAGATTTCAGAGTTCGCAGTTGTTTTGAACGCGGCATAAGTTATTGGCGCTCCTGGCTGTTTGTACATTACAGTGGTTCCTTTCGTGTGCATTATTGAACAGTAAGTTGCTTTCCATGTCACTGTTTATATTGTATTTCTCCTGTACATGTGTTAGCCAGCACACCATATTTCCCTCAGAGTTTAGATGTCAGTAATACCGTTTATGTCAGCAGCTAAGTGTGTTAATTAGGTAATTAGTCAAGTAAGCTAGCAATATGTATCTGTAGCATGGCTAGCTTCATAGCCACAAGCCATTGTCGCAACACGGATTGTCGCTTGAGTGGTAGGACATGGTAGTGGACTCCTTCTGTTCTGTAAAATTCATTACTACAGCCTGGAGCTATACAGTAAGACCCCCCTTTACACCTCTTTTGAGCTGGTTCTGTCTAAGCCATTTTCAGCTAGCTGCTATCTAGAGAAACTGTCAGCGAGACGTGACCACACACTGTCACTGCTAGCTGTCAGTGAGAAGTGACCATGCAACCGACGTGACGGTTTCTTGATGGCCGCACCCTATCGGTCAGTGAGAACGTTTAGAAAGTTTTTATTTACGTATGCAAGAAAGTTTTTATTTACGTATGCATGTTTTTGCAATTTTAGGGGTTGGGACATGCTTGGTGATCCTATTAGGTTATTAAAATGACCCTTACTTCATGAATCGTTTCAGTTACACTTTAATAAGCAACTCTAAAAAGGGCCCATTACATAGATTTAAAAACACTCCAATTACATGTTTCTAAATTCCTCACATGCCCACCACCAGTGCTCTGCTGTATTAGTGTGTGTTTGCCAGGGTTTACCAACCAATCAGGCCTAGCATATAGCTCTGTGCTCATCAAGCACAAGTCAATAGTCTTGGCCCTCCCTCTTCACCATAAACCGTAGAGCCAGTTCGTGTGAAGCTACAAACTCTAGGTAAAGAGGGAGGGATTAGTGCACAAACAGAAAATGATTAGGGTGTTTAGCAGCCCTCCTACAGGACAGACTACTAGATTAGCTAATAGCTAAAGACGATACAAGGGTCTAGCCTACCTGTAATTACCAGACTGACAATCAAAGGGTGACCTTGGCATATTCCGGCAAAGTTGGTGTTGTCCTTCAAAGATTTCTCAATAAGGGTACCTATTAATGTTTGAGAAATAGCATTAATAATGTAGTAACTGATTAAGCCTTAGGCCAGGGAGTGGCAACAGATGTGTTCTACTGTTAGCTAGCAATGTAGGTAGACTGAATTTTATTGACAGTCTTTGCTCAGACTTGCAGCATATTAGGAACTCAAAAGTGTTGAAATAATGTGTGTGGTTGAGAGAGCACAGAGCAGCAGGTGCACAGCAAGGCCTTCACATCAAGTTACTACCTTACCCCTGGAGGTCAACCACACTCTACTGCTGCTATGGCAACACAAACTATGCACTATTGTACAGAGGAATGTTGTCCTACAGAACATTGAACAGCTTCAGTTTTACATCTGGCCTACTGTTTAGGCTGGGGTTAGGTAACATCTGTAATGGAATAGGCTAGTTCAACTTCAAAAACGTTTATTATTACATTACAAATACAGCTATTGACAGATAGGTCTCCCCTGGTTCTGAGTGAGTGGGGCGGCAGGTAGCTTAGTGGTTAAGAGCGTTGTGCCAGTAACCGAAAGGTCGCTGGTTCTAATCCCCGAGCAGACTAGGTGAAAAATCTGCCGATGTGCCATTGAGCAAGGCCCTTAACCCTAATTGCTCATGTAAGTCGCTCTGGATAAGATGTAAATGTATCAAAATGCCCTGGATTACGGAAAACTGATAACTAAAGAAATGTTAAATGGATCTTGCTGCTAAGTCACAGACACATACCTTCCATTCCTCTGAAGCCCTAAGAGCTGGGTTAAATAAAACAAACTAGATCTCTCTCACACACACATCTACCTGAACTCAAAAAGAGATTTCTCAGCAGCACAGAATAAAGGGTGGGTCAGCAGCATTGACCCAATTTACATGCGACAGTTTTCCCCCTCTGTGGCTGAATGACACGCATTAGTACCCTGAGGTCAGGATGACGAGCACAGGCCCTCAAGGAAAAAGCACAGAAATGATTGATATCTTCATGGCAGCGAATAATGAGAGGATACATCGAGTAGAGTAGAGGGGTCTATCCATTGACATGCCTGTTCTATTTGAGATAAGTTCACTATCTTCTCACTAATGTTCTACTCTATAAAAAATAGAAGATAGCCGC